GTATTCAAGATGGCTGCCCCCATATAGTAAATATTGCATTTATTTTATTATCACTTGTGGCCAACTGACTAGGGTGGATGTGACGTGAGCATATCGTCAAGAATATGTACAATTTCAGCATTATTACATTCAAATATTACCCTGAAAATCAGACTAATGTTATATTTTCAATTGCAAAATGAAATTTCATGAAAAGCAAAGTTTGTTCATAACAGGCATGGATTTAAATGTTATCTCTATTGCACGATTATGAAATTTGCAGACCCTTATCTACAAGTGTACAATACATTATTTTCGCTTGGAATTAATTTTCGCTATTTTCACTGATGGAATGATTCAGTGAAAATAAAATCAGCAATATACTTTTTTTTCCTATATTTTACATTCAACTCATCAAAAATTAGTGAAAATAAATTCCATACAAAACACCAAAAAAGTCTTTTCAGCGAAAATTGAATCCAGCTAAAATAAAGTATTTTACAGTATCTCCTTTCGATTTTAATATGACAGGAAATATTCATCTATATTTTGAAAGATTTAATACAATCAGTGTTCTCACTAGTTATTATTTATGCCAGAAGTTCTCAATCAAGTACCTGGGTTTCTCAATAAAATTGAGCAGTCTGAGAAACATTTGTCATTTTCTGCATTTTAAACTCAAATACACTTGATACAATGTACAAGGTAGATGAGATGAAAACACAGCATATATTTTTCAGTTCCAAATTTGTTTAGCGGGAACACTGCTTACAATAGTTGAGAATCTTAAATATCTTATCTTAAAATACATGCAAGCGGTAAGTTTGGAGTTCTGTGGTGGCTACATGTACATTGCTGAGCGTATGCATGCCGCGACAGAAAGAGGGGTTTCAGTTTGCCTCAGTTTTCCACAAACTGAATATAGACATCCTTAGTCCTTCAAAAATAAACTTACAAAGGCAGCCTTAGATGTCTACAATACAAAATATACATGTTCCGAAACTAAAATTGGTACCGTATTTGCTCTATTAGTAGCGCATACATATATGTAAATGACAGAGGTTTGACTACAGTCAGAACATGTTATATTTCAATAATCCAGTATACAATAAATTTGACTTTTTGGTTTACATGTGCTTATATCAGAGATGCATTTCAAATATAGCAAATACGATATTATTATAGTAAAATATTTGCCTGAAACAGCGAACTGCGTTTCGCTGATGTCGGGCAGTGCATTGACCCCCATTTTGCTGCCAAGCAACCAGAGAACCCAAGACTCTGATTGAAAAATATCTGCAGACAGTTACATGTCAACACACTTTTATGAAGAGACAGTGATTGTTCAAATAACGTAAATAGAATTAAGTTAACCGTGCTGTAAATCAACGAACAAATCAGTGAGAATTAAGTAAAAACAAACCAATAATATTGAACCAATGTTATTTATGTTTATTGGTTGGAAAAAGATTAATTATTTGTTAAATACTTTGAGTGCATTGGATGATTGGATCGGGAGGGGGGCACACAACATGCATGGCACACTGTGACATGCAACTCACCCCTTTTGGTAGTAAAATCACTTTTTTCTGATAATCAGGCTTCTGTATTGAGAATGAAAAATGCATATAATATGAAATGACAGCTGACAGGGTCTCAGACCAGGATACAACGCTGTATAGTCTATAGTCTGTTTTGAGAATGATTTGGTTCATGTTCAACTGCACATTTTTAAAAAGTTTGTGCTTCCAAGACACATACATGTAAAATATATCATTTGATTCAGAAATGACTAAAAAAAATAAAGTTAAAAATAATGAAAACACATAAATTTAAAATGATAAATTTATCAGAATACATATACGGTACATATAACCAGAGCAAAAACCCTTTATATTTTATTTGTAGAACCTCAATTGAATTATTATATTCATGATGCAATTTTAATAAAAAAATTATAGCACAAAATTTTATAGAAATAATTTGTTTCTATTATGGATAAATAAATTAAAGGTCACAGGGAATTTCAAACAATGAGAAAAAAACATGACTTAATATGTTCCTTTGCCGATGATCAATCGGCATATTAGATAGACATCAATTATTCATGAATGGATGCGGTTGCCATGGTGATCAATTTGAGAATGATTATACTGGAAAGTAAACGACATCGGTAATGGGAGATTCATCGGAGCATACAATTTTAATTATAGAATACATCAGGTGAGCGTACAACGAAAAGTACAACGCTGAATTATATAATTGACGGATCACAAGAGCCGTTGGATATGTCTGCAAGTTCCGTTGCATTGTAATTACTTTTTCTAGGAACTTTCAAGATCCCATTTTAATAGGGAAGTAAAATCCCATGACAGCTTAACTACGAGAAAATATTTTTTTTTCTTATTAGAGTCACATTGCTGTTATTCCACAATGTACGATTACTCCATTTCTCAGAAGCATCATGCTTCAATTAATTCTGTATATTTTCTAATTTATTTAAACAGAAAATAGCTTTAGAGTGAGGTGGCTTGAGAAAAAAATAAGAGGGTTATATATTTTATTTTTGATGGACTCAGAATGACGCATACAAAATATAAAAACAAAATTCACTTTTCCTAGATTTATAATTCAGTTTTCCAGTGGAATTAAATCATTTGAAAACTCTGCTCCTGAGACCCTGAATATTAACAAGAGAGGTTCCCCCACTGTTCGTGACAAGTTTTAGCAATAACCTACATGTATAGCTACAAAAAAAATAAAATAAAATAAAGCAAAAAATAATTTATTATTTTAGAATTTTACGGAAAACACCAAATTTGTTTAATTTGATCGTAGACAAGTTTTAATTTATCTGTCATGAAATACAGTCACTAAATTTTCATAATTCTACATAAAGTGATATTCAGAACGTGATCTCTTGCTTCGAACTTGAATGAAAGTTCTGTATTATTATTTGTAATATTTGATGTTATGAATATGCATGAATTTCGGGATATCTGTGAAATTGTAATAATATTCGTTGCATTCAAATGTTTGCAATCATTAAGGCTTCTCGTTGAATTTTTGCTTGAATTTCACTAGACCTGCAAATGCAAATGGTAGCCAAGATCTCATTGAGAGAGTGAGAGAATCACATGATCTTTTCTTCAATCTTCAAATATTGTTCTGCTTTCTATCATCACCATGACGACTGTTTCCCAGATGTAATCATGGTAATTGGAATAATGAACGCAATGACAAGAGAGAAAGGAACACTATTTGAGATCAGGCAGTATATAAACCAGGAAATAGTCCAAAATCATCAATAAATGAAAAAAATTATCATCTGAGGGCAGCACAACTTTAAGACACTGACATGACATGTGTAGACGACCCCCTAAAAGTCAACTTCTGTTACCTTCTAAAAAATAAAATATTTTTATTTAAATCAGACCAATGGAAAATTATTTTGATTTGATCTGAAACAAAGAATTCATGAAAAAATCCAAAATGTTTCCCCAAAATATTGGCAAGAAAAAATATGGTGTTCGAAAGGAAAATGACAACAATGACAAAATTATGCATAATCAATTAAAATCTTTCACATACCGCACCCATTCCGTAACTCAGAACAGCATTTCGAAGGTCCTCGATAGTTTTCATTTCAAAATCATCATAGTCCTCAGCTTCCAATGCTTTTTCGCTTTTCCTTTGCCTCTTCGTTCGCAATGCCAGTTCCTCGGAAAAGAGCAGAAGAGCTCCCTTCCGAGTAAGATAAGTTTTATGAAGAGGCAGTTCTCGTGGTGAATATTCCAACTTGTCACCTTCCTCATCTTCATTCCAAGCCACTTTTTGCTCAATTGGTGGGAGATAAAACTTCTTAGATTGAATGTTAAGATAGTCCTAAAAGTGAAACAAAAGTTTTAGGTACAATTAAAAATTTTTTCTATAAAATTAATCTATCCCAAGAAATAAATTTTATCAGGAGCAGGTGTTCTCTTGAGAGGCAGTCACAGTTTCTACTTCCTATACTGTATAGCATTTATTTTAAAGCGCAGTTGTCGTCGCGCAGCGCGTGTTCGAATTTCATGTAAATAAACAATGTATTTTCGACGCGTTGTATATGTCGCTATAAGTCCCATATCGAACAGGACGCGACGCGACGACTGTCCCTTTTAAATGACATCACTCAGCAGTTTACCATATGATTGATTATTCAAGAAGATGTTCAATTCAAAAAAAAAAATGAGTAAAAAAAAACTGTAATAGTGACAGACACCATTATAATAACTTAAATTTAGGGAGTGAACTTTTGTAGAAATCACAAGTGCAACAAATTTCAGCAAAGAAATGCAGTTGACATTGAGAATGTTTTTATCATCTGTACAAATCATCATTGGATCTATTTCACACTGTTCTATGATTACATCATTTCTATTTTCAGTAATATCTTGTAAACTTGACAAATGTTACTTTTTTGATATGCAATTGTTATGCTAATAATATGCACATTTTTGTTGTTAAAATGACAGGTCTCTTCCTCTTCAACATTATTATCCATCTATCACCATATTGCCATAAGTTGCAGTGTGCCATAATTTGGGACATTAATAGTGACTCTGCCTTCTGTACTGCCTTGTGATATTCTTGTATTACTTCATATATTTGTGTTAGTCATGTTTTTTTTCATCCACTAATAAAAACAACTATGAAGAAAACTTAAGGTACTTGTGTTGATCAGGTCTGGTTGCCCCAGGGATACATGTAGCTCTTCAAAACACGATTGATTGTGAAGATACAGTGACAAAGTAATATAACGATGTCATAGAATGAGTAGAATTGGCATTGATCAATCAATCAATCAATTGCTGTCAGAAGCTACAATGTAACAAAATTAAGCTGCATCACTGGATTAGTACAGTTGCGAATAGCGTCACAGAAATACAGACACGGTTAGGTCTACCGATAATGACATGACACGCAACCTGTATACCATTTATTTCCAAAAAGACTCCACTAAAATATAGCGGTAAGAAAGTGTCCGACTGGAACAGGAAAGTGGTAAAAAATAGGAATTGAACTGAACGCGAGCAGAAGTAAAAAAAAACAAAAACCACTGATTGGTCAATGCCGACCACGTGCAGACGTAGACTGACCCTAATTAACATAATTTATGCATTTCACTTGGATATCGACAGTATCACCGTAAGATCGAATATAACAATAATAACTCCGAAATTAATAATATTAATGTTCTCGACAACAGTTGTATTGACTGTTATATCGTAACGTATGCTTCAAACTACATTTGAACTTAACCTTTTTTGAACTTTACTTGATGGCCAAGAATTCTGATTAGAATAATAGTGAAAATAACATATACCAGTCACTGATAGCATATGGTTAAAATCTGCTAAAATAACAGTAGAAGTCATTCGCAGCCAATTTCATGAACTTGAAACCTAAGGAAATAGCTCAAAGGGTCAAAATAGTGAAATTAAAAGCCAGTGAAAATACATGATTTTACAATACATAGAAACGCTATTTAATGCAACAAAAATGATCATATTCTCTGATCGGCATTTCAAGTTCAAAATCAATTTCAAATCATAAAATTCTTGTGGCAGATATTTGCAATTTGCAAGATCTCGCAGAAAACAGAAAATCATATACTATACTCTCTCGCTCTCTAATTTATACAATGTAAATTTATTTAATAACTATTTATTATTAAAATTATATTGTTTAGTTTATTTATTAATTAATTTATAACTTAAAACTCAATCAAAGTACCAGTACACTCAATGTTAATTAATAAAACGTGTCACACACAATTGTTACTTAGGGGTGGACTTAGCGTGAATACTCAGATTATTAAAGTTATTTAGTGATTTCATCTCCCCTTAAAATCCAACTTATTTAATTTTAAGATCATTAATCCAGTTTCATTAAATTTTAAATTTAAACATGGAACAAGTGTGCATTGTGTGCTAGTGAGTGAAAGTAGTGCTGAATTTCTAGTTACTTCAACATTTTCAGTTTTCGTTACACGCTGATCAAAAAGGATTGTTTATACCACAGATTTACAATAATAGAATTTCTTGATTTTTTTTTTTTGAGAAGCAGTATGATATTAATTAGACACAATTGTTGGTCAAAATTAATCAGAAAATAAATGATATTGAACAAAATGAATCTTTAATAGTCAAAACTAACAAATTTAAATTTTCTTTAAAAATTATACAGACATGTTTCTGCACTTAGTTTCAATATTTTTGTTCAATCAGTTTTGAATGTGTAACTGACTTTGAAAATGTAATTATTACCAATCTATATATAGATTTAGGCAGACTTTTTGTTCACTGTATAGGCCATAGCACTGTAACGTCATTACATTTTTTCTAACCACCATGCAAATGCCTGATAAAACTAATTTTTATTATCAAAGAAACAAGCATGAGTGAGACATTAGTGCTACTGTAAACAATAGACATACACAGCAACAAGAACGACAGACAGACAGACAGAGACAGATGGCTGCCAATCAACACACCAGAGGAGTGAAAAGGTCATACCTAGAGTGTCCTTCAACCCCAAAAATAGCAATTTTGTTCCAGAAGATAAATTACAAGTGACAGCTTGCTTATGAAAAGCTAACATATAAAATAAGGGAATTTATTTCAAGCTACCTTTGAAAGGACCAGATCACAAATCTCCAATAAGGCCATGAATGTTTTGAGGTACGCAAGAATGACTGGTATTGTCCAACAA